ATATATATATATATATATATATATCTTTCTTTCTAGATTTTACTTGTCCTGTCAATTTGTTATGGTGTTATGGTGTCCATAGGAATACTTTGGGGATTGATTTAGCTCTACTAAGAATAAATAAATGACTATTTTCAAGGGTATTTTTCATCATTTTTATATTATTTTACAATAAATAAAAATAAAAAAGTCAAAATTTTTACATATTTATTTTTATGTTATTATATCTTAACTTTAAAAAATTCTCCAATAATTATATAAAAAAGACTATTTTACCAATGAACTGAAGCCTTACGCTACCCCTACGTTGTTGCTTTCCAGTAATTGTCACCTTGTGTGTGAGCAAATGACTTATTCTTATGATCATTATGTCCAATAGAGATCACTATGCTTTCGATGTTGGGCGGGTTCAATGAAGTGGAGGCCTCACTCTTATCACACACACAGTGGCCACAAAGATTGTGCCTCTATCACTAAATAAGTTTGGCAAAAGTGAAAGTCTTGTCTCGTCGCTACGTCTTCATGGAAGAAGGTTTCATCCTCAGCAAGAGGGCTACAGAAGCAATGATGATACTAACCTTTTTTTTACTGTAGGTTCAATGAGATAGAAGAGAGGTGGTGGCAAAGGCGATATAAGGTAACGAGGAGGGTAAAGGGAGTTTCAACGAAAGTAAAATGATTATTTATGATATATATATATATATATATACACGAACTATAATTGAAATCGTCGGCTCCGGCACTGAACCCGAAACTGCGTGGATCCAGATTAGTTCGGGTCCTCGAAACCCAAACCCAAAACCACCAGCGTCCGGTTCGGTTCGGGTTCCCAAAAAACGAGGAACCGAAACCGTTAGGGATGTGCCTGGCTTACCACGACGGTTTGATTGTCCACGGCCCATACGAAATGGGCCAGCCTGCAGCCCTCATGAACTCACCAGCAGGCAAGGTTAAATGAACCGGCCCTATGTGCTCGGCCGGATTGCAGCCCACTTGACCCATTTCTAGCTCGTTAAGGGGTCGAAGGCCCGTGCTGCAACTCACAACAGCCCGCGGCCCGCTCTGCAACCCACATTGGCATATATATATATATATTCTAGTGAGGCAGGCAATAATTGAGAAGGTTGAGGTGGGCATTAATATCCGAAGCTTAAAGTACGTCGTGGCTCTCAACATCCCATGTGCAGTGCCCGTCACTCGTTCACGCACTCATACACCCCATCGGCGTCGCCTTTCGTTTGTTGCACTTGCGGTGGGACCCTATGACTGAGCTCATTATTTGAGCCACAAACTTGTGATTATTTGAGAACTCATACTCAACATGTACATGTATTATGACAGACTCAGCAATCACTTCTCCTTTAGCTTGACCTTTTTTTTCTACTATCATGCATGTATGTGCTCATCTATGGTTGTAAATATGATGAATACCTGTACAAAATAAATGAAAATTCATGATGGAATATTATAAATGCACCCCTTAAGTTTGAGAAATTGGATATATATATATATATATATATATATATATATATATGAAAGTCTATTAGTTTTAGAGGGATGTAAGGAATTTATACTTTAAAATTGCATACATATAATTTTTATATGTTTTTAAATGATCCGAACCTTCTTATTATGTTATCAAGTTAAAAAAACAAAATTATTTATTTACTTTTCAATGGACAAATGATAAAGATAAATTTTAATCCCTGAATTTAATTAGCACATTCAGAATATATTTAATGAGTTTTCGAACCTTTAACCTGAGTTAAATATAAATAATATATCGAATGAGATTTGAAATCATCAATTAGAAAAAGTCATTATTAATATCATTATGTTCACTGCTTGCAACAAATTATTATTAGTAGTAATAGTAGTAGTAGTTTAAGATGCATGCCGTTGTCCGAAAGAAATGCTTTAGAGAGATGAGAGGCACGCATCGGGAAACCCAACTTTTCAAGTGAAGAATCAAAAGAGTAAAAAGGTTTTGTACCACTAAATGTGTGTGTTTCTTTTGTTTAATTACAAACCAAGAAAAGCATCTTAGTTCCTATACAATGGATAGTGTGGAGTTTACTCATGAACTTACATGATCTCTTACCGTACTTGTGGCTCAGGATAATCTTATGATGATTAGAACTATTTTTGTAACTTGTGCTAGAAAGCCACTTTTGTTTTTATTGGAAATCATAAGCTAAGGAAACGCAAAAACATATTATCATTAAGGTAAGTGTGATTTAATAATTGTTTCGAACATTACCAAAATTACTCATTTAGTCCATGAATGCTTATAACAAAAAATTCATTATTTACGTAATTAAAAATTATAAGTAGTTGGTAAAGAATATACTGTCTACTAATTTGACACGTAATCGTTACGTAGTATCCAGAGTTAGAGAAGAGAAGATGAAGGTTTAAAGTAAATATCGTAAACTTCATTTTGATCATATATATATATATATATGATCAAAATGACAATCGTAAGCTTCCTTCTTGTCCTTTATGATCATAAAGATAATTATAAATTTTTTTCATATCCTTTTAAAGATAATTATAATTTTTTTTCTCAATCATTAATACTTATTTTCAACATTATAAAAAGGATCAAACTTATCTTTTTTGAAAACTCGTGTTCGTACTCACAAACTTCGGATTATTAACTTGGGCATCAAAGGGATCATCTTGGTAAGTCTCTCCCGATCTCGATCTTTGTATAGGTGACACATCGGGAGAAAAAATGTTTATTCATCGAAGATACATCAAACAATCCTACGTATATGAGTTCAAACCTGATACGAAGACATCAACGATATTTTTTCTTATCACTAATAAAATAATTTCTTAATTATCCAAAAAAATTAGTTGAATAATACTAATTCTCTGATATTATCTTAAGTAAATAATATAAATATTCATATAATATGATTAATGCTTTAAATGCATAACTTAGTGAACTTCAGAAGCAATTGGCATAAATTAAAGGCCGCCATGTGGAGTCAGTTAAAAGTAAAGGTGACGGCAGACCACGTGCGCATGCTTAACTGTAATCGTCGCGAGGGAAAAGAATATGCAAGATTAATTAATTGGAAAAAATAAAGCAGAACGCATAAAAAATAACAAAAAGTCATTAATGAATAAAGAAACTAATAAAATAAGAAATTTATCATTTAAAACTCTTTTTTATATTGTTAATTTCTTAAAAATTAAAATAATAAAAAATAAATTTTACTATTTATAATTTATTAATTATAAATTTTATCGTATTGTCGTTTCCCGTTTGGAGAGAGACATGACGAGGTTAGATGAGATCCTGAGAAGATTGATGTGGGCAAGTCTTATACTCGATCTCTTCAACTTTACTCTTCCTTTGAACGGATTTTTCTTGAGCCTCAAATCGATCGTCATATAAAAAAATGAGTAAGAGATAAGAGGCGATAGTAGAGTGTTACATGATATCGTGAAAGGTCTCTATCTTTTACATCAACTCTCTCATTTTATCCTCCGTGATTATTGTCGATGGCCCTTGCGATTGTCGTCTACGCTTCAAACGTCGAATTAAGAAAGAAAAATAAGAAAAACATATTTACATCTATTTATATAGATAAAAAAAATAAAAAAAATTAAAATGAACCCGTAAATAGCAGACAGCGATTGCGAATATAAATATTCTAAAATAATAACAGATAGCTGAGTAATAAAGTAATAAAAGGAAGATTCGAAAAGTGGTTTCCTTGTTTTTTATTTAAGATTATTATTAATTACTTCACGGAGTGTTTTTTTACCGTACTGGTTTTTACTGAGGGCAGAGGAAAGAGAAGAAACGTGGGGAAGAAGGTTAATTGGAGGAAAAGTTAGCGAGATTCCTATCGCTGGCGAAGAGCGAATGGATGGGGGACCGAATCGAAATTAATAGGCCTTGGAAGCTTCCCATTGTTTCTCTTCGTCTTCTCGTCGTGCGGCGCCCGCCGTGTCCAATCTGTGTCGGAGGAGCTCGGCTCGGGATTGGTGCCATCGATCGGGGATGGAGCAGCGGCTGCTTCGCAGGCTGAAAGCCTCGATCTTGCGGCTGCGATGCCGGTCTCCGTCGGGTAAGGATCGAACTTGGCCTTTTTCTAGGCCACTCGAATCTTGTTCCGTTCCGCCGTGGTTATTGCAGTTTGTTGGAAATTGAGCCCAAAATGGGGAATTTTTGTCCATCTGCTGCGTCGGATTGTGCTTCTTCTTCTTCTTCTTCTTCTTCGATTGTCTTTTATTGTCGGGATTTTGAGGGTGTGAGATGGGGAAAGGAGTTGTCTTCTTGGGAAATATGCTATATGTTATATATATAAATGTCAAATTAACCTAAATATCTGCACTTGGAGTCAAATTCAACAACTTGCAGTGGTAGACTTTCATTGATGGAATAAACTTTTGTAATAACGCATGTGTTTGAAGATGTCGAGTGTTTTAGCAACGAGAGCTGAACAAAAACACCTTTCAAGAACTCCGAGCAAGAGAGACCGGATTCAGATGAAGACGGAGAGGAGTTTCCATGGATATGTCTACTAGAAGTTGTCATTTTGTTGTAAGCTTCGATGCTTGCGGACTCCAGCTAGAATTATGAACTATGTTACTTAATTTAGCGTCGTTTAGACTGATACTGGATCTCCAAAAACTCGTGAGTCCATGCCAAATCTTATGTACTCCTCATCATCATTTTTCCCTGCAAACTCTATACTGCCCTCTTCAGTCCTCACACGGAAATAGCCTCTTTGTTTGCAAAGATCCTAATAGGTACACTGATAATCTCAGACCCTGCATTGGGACCACCTTTTTTTCACCAGACATTGCGAGAGACTAAGTAGTAAAAGACACACTTTGTTGCTTCTTTATTCTAATATGTTTATTGTTTTATTGATATATAAACATGGAGAGATCACTGTACCTGTTTGGAGATGTACACAAAGTGTAATAAACGATACAATTCTGAAAAGGCTGGAAATTGGTACAATCCAAAAATAATAATAGCACTAATGTGCAGTAGTGCAGCTTAAATATATCAGGTTAGATTCTTGACTGCAATTAATGGACTTTTTTTATCAAGTTATATGATATTCAGTCAATTCCTTTGTTCTCTTACTTACTTCTGTACTTGCTAGCCTAATATCTAATGCAATCAATAGAATTTATAGAAATGTCTAATGCAATCAATACTTTCAGAAGATTGTCTTCATTCTTCTAAATTAATTCAGGTCTTGCTTTATCGAAGGTAAATTCTCATGCCATTATACGTTCAGAAAGCCCTAACGAACTTTATGTTTCATGATTTATCAGTTTAGACAAACATGTCATTTTCATGCTTTCAGAATGACAGCTGATCCAATCATATCTATATTTACCATTGGATCGTAATAACAATTTTCAGACTGAACAGCTCAGTAGTGATATATCTTGTTAATGAAGGTACATTGCCATTTGTTGAGAATTTCACATACAAGGAGATCGATAAAGCAACTAATGGATTCGGCATGGTTCTTGAAAGTGGTGCTCAAGGAACAATTTATAAAGCTCGATTTCCTAATGGACTTGTTGGTGCCGTCAAAAGAGTAAGATCTCAGCAACTAGGGAAAGATACCTTCTTTGAGAATGTGCAACTGTTAGGACGCTTGCATCATCGTCATCTTGTCAGACTCAAAGGGTTTTCCGAGGGCAAATATAGGTATGTACACTTGGTAAAAATCCAACCTCTAAAGAACTCTATCATAGGATGTTTTGTCGAATCTATTGGTCAAACCTGTCAATAAAGTTGTCTTCTGAGTATCATCAAATTGACCTGTTAACTGTGAGGAATTCTCATGCCATAGTATCCTCAGGTTTCTTGTTTTTGACTACACGGAAAATGGGAGCCTGAAGGATTATCTTCATGGTAAGACACTCTTCTATATGAAGTAATCATCTTCACAATTTTCTTATAACGCAGAATGATTCAATTACTTTGTCAGATCCGTTGAGAACACCGTTGAATTGGAGGACCAGATTACAGATTGCTATTGATGTAGCCGCTGCTCTGGTGGGTGGTTGACTGGAATGTTTTCTTCTAAACATGATATAGCTTTACAGAAGCAGGCTTGACAGTTGATACACAAAAAAACATTAGTCCCTTTCCACGAATTATGAATTTACCTTCTACAATTCATGGTGCAGGAGTACCTCCAGTATTTTTGTGACCCACCTGTATACGATGTGTCTGTCAACTCAAACAATATATTATTGGATGAGAACTTTGTTGCCAAGGTAAAAAAAACCACTTTGCCACATAAGTCAAACTAGCCTGTATTGGAAAGCATAACTTTGTGTGGTGCTTTTGTTTTATTCATATACTTACCGGACAAGTAGAAAAGATTATAGTTAAGTTTTATGTTTCAGTTATCTGATGTGGGCTTCGTCGATAGTGATTTCAACCGCAATAGTGAATCAAATGTCACGTGTTCAGAAGGTTGGGCCTTTAAACTTGATGTATTTGCATTTATTTGCTTGACAATACTTACAAGTGAATTTTCTGGCAGATGATACCAAACAAAAACATAGGAGACTGGTTTTCCAGTTTGGTGTGCTCCTTCTTGAGCTTATAACTGGTCAGTCATTGTTCAACGAAGCAGAAATTGTCCAATGGATCCAAGAATCTGGATTTGCCTACTCAATCCACAAGATGGTGGACACTGATCTTGGAGATAGTTATGATTCCAAAGAACTCCAAAGTCTTTTAATTATAGCAAGATTGTGTACCAAGACCGAAAACGATACATTAATTTCTATTCCCCAGATATTACGGTATCTGCAAGGACGGCTGGAACACTCTGCTTTGTAATATTAGTGTGATAATCTTGAGAATTTAACTCGGAATTTATACTTTTTGAAAATGTAAATTTGACTAATAATGTAAAGAAGTTGGTGATCTTTTTTTTTGTATAATGTGTATTACTTGTGTCTTGACATGTGTGCTGAATTATTAACATAATAATGTGAAGAAGTTAGTATATTTTTTTGTTGTAAAGTTTGCTATTAAATTTATAATTATCATAAGGAGATGACTCTCTTCATTCTCTTGCATTGGATTATCATTTTAATTATATGACATCATTTTGTTTGATATTACATCATGAAATTAGTTTTTTTATTATAAAATAAAAATATATTCAAGTTTTGATTCGATTGATATAAAAGTTAGGCTTAGAAAGCTTATTTTTTTCCTTAGCAGATAATGCAAGAGTCCTCCGTGCATAGAATTTTTGATGGACTACATGAGGCCATATATAGCGTAATCATCGGCCATATAAGGCGTCAAGGGAGACGCCCAACTCGGGAGTGGGAAGCGGTTGATATCAACCACCTCTCGTATCGGTAGCGGAAGCGCGAAACCTGCGTCGGTTTTGCCTTCGAACCACAAATCGGCGATCGGTTCGATCTCGCGAGCGTGAAAGAGATCGACGGCATTATGAGGATTGCGGTGGCGGTGGTGGTGGCGCTTCTGGCGGCGACAGCGGAGGCCGGCGACCAGAACGACGTGTTCACCCCATGCGACGACGCCAAGATCCAGCGATGGGATGGGTTCACCTTCGGGATTGCCTTCTCCAACCACGACTCCTTCTTCTCCGACCGGGTGCAGCTCTCACCTTGCGACAGCCGCCTCTCCCTCTCCAATGTCGCTCAGCTCGCAGTCTTCCGTCCGAAGGTCGACGAGATCTCCCTCCTCACCGTCGACACCAGCGCCAACCCTGCGGTATGGTCAAGACCCCCTTCCTTTATCCCCTCCCAAATCCAATTTGAACAGTTTTGCTTCAGATGCTGCGGATTAGTTTCTTGATCCGATTCTAGGTTTTGTTACGACTCACTGTTTGTTTTCTCTCGTTTGTTGAGTGATTCGTAGAAGGTTCGGCTTTTTTCGGTTAATGCACAACTGCATTTCTAATTATACATTGCGGTTAATCTTAGACGATTGCAAGCACAAAATTATCTAGGAATAGAAGCATTTCTGTACCCCTATGATATTGGAATCATTCGGATGGGTAGTAGGATCATCTCACACAAATCAGTTTCTTTTGCTACTGCTTTGGTATTGGAAGAGCTCTCGTTGTAAATGTTTCTGTGAATGATGAGGGGAATCTTTGAACGATTTGCACAATCCGTCTCTTTCTCTTTATCTATAGTTTGCATGGTCCTGTGAATAAATTATTTTCGTGGATGATCAGGAAAATTGTAGCACACGGATATGTGTTAAAATGGAGTTCAAATTATGCAAAATCCAATTTTTAATCATGATACAAACTACATTGATAAATCATAACAATTAGTACTGGAGATTGGAAATTTGCATGGAAAACTTAGAAAGTGATAGCTTTTTATGACAATTATGCAACTAATGGAAGTGTGAGAGTAAATATAAAGTGCCTTCTCGAGGAAAAAAACTAGTGAGCCAACAGGATTAAATAAGCCATTGATCTCTTGTTTCCATCCAATAACTGAAAAATATTATTATCCTTGTCACTTTTTGTCAATTTTTTACAAACCTAAATTTATTACGAAAGAAAAAGAAACAGATGAGATTGTATTGGCAAATATAAATGAAAGAAAGTAAGAGAGAATCATCTAGAGGACCATATACATTTTTTTGACAATCTACCACTTTCTGTTTTATTTTCTTTGGTTTGTTTTCACACACATGGTGGTGAATCTATTCAGACAAACAACTGAAGTTATGTGTCATATTAGTAATTTATGGTTTCTGCAACGTTGAACCTCAGATCTTTATTACATCAACTTAACCAGCTTTGCCATATGGAATGAGCCAGTAAGCTTCTTATTGGCTAGAGATGCACAGTACTAGCTTTATACCATCCACAATAGAACCTGCAAATAAACATGTAAAAACTATAATAACCACAATGTAACATAGTGCACTGAAAAGATTCGAGTTATCCTTATGAACAGTGGAATTATGGAGGAGACTATACATTTAAAATGCCCTGATGTTTTCTTTCCTGTAGATATGTGATGATTATTATTAGACAAAATCTTTGTGTGATAGCATGCTTAAGTTTATGATTTTCAAAGGGTATGGTTTCCAATCATTCATGGATCTTATGTCACAATTGAGCTCTATAGGTAAACTAAAATCCATCAGAAGCCATGTTAGGTATTTCCTTAATCCTCTTTACCATTAATCTGATTGACTTATCTCAACTAGGCGACACAGATATTAATCCTCTTATAGTACATGCAAACCACTTTGAATGACTCTCTCTCTTGAAGTCCTTGGTATTTTCCCTAATTGTTTGCCAATATAGAGAACTTGTATTAACTCTAGATATGCCAACAACTTTAGTTCAACAACATTTACTTCCTTTTCGATATGCTCTTACTATCCAAATTCTGATTCATAAAACACAAAAACCCAAAATCTGTTTTCTAAAAAGTTTTTTGATTGACCTCTGTCGTAGCTTTTACATTTCCAATCAGTGGAGGCACTCTGCATATCTTATCAGTCCAGGCTGCTCTGTCACTCGTCTGAGAGTTAGAATTCTCATATTATTTGATATACAGCAATAGTGAAGAACCTTAAATCCTTTTCAGGTCACTAGTGGAGGATACATGGTTGCATTCGCTGGCAGGAAGTATGCAGCACGATCCGTTCCTGTTTTTGTTAGTGACAACACAAATATTGTAACCAGCTTTACCCTGGTACGTTTGTGCGATTCAAATATTGGAGTTTAAGAAAAAGGTCAGGTTACATAAAAAGAAAAATCTGTGACATCTGTCTCGGTGGTAATGTCTATATAGGTACTTGAATTCCAAAAAGGCACACTTCAGAATTTGCATTGGAAGAGAGACGGTTGTGCTTCATGTTCAGGGAAGTCATCTTTTGTTTGTCTCAACAATCAAGTTTGTGCAATCAAGACATCGAGTTGCAAACACCAGGGTGGTTCTGTTGATTGCAACATAGGTATACAATTGGCTTTTTCTGGAACTGATAAGCATGATGCTGTGCTAAATTCATGGTATGAGGTGTCCAATCTCCAGCAGTACTCTCTCTATGGATTGTATTCAAACATCAAAGATTCCCTTACCATCTAGTACAACAATTTCTTCTGACCCCCTCTTGATGTCGATATCGAGCTCCTGGACAGGCATTCTTTTGTAGTCTTACGGTACCACATGCCACAGATCATATTCAAATGTTTGTCTATCAGACGGGTATTGTTGTAAAACTCATCTTATTCTTTTATTGATGGAACCAATGTTTATATTCTTGTTGGCCTGGACTTTTTCATTCATCTCGTTTTCCTTGTTGCTTACTAAATTTTATTAGGAAGGTGGTTTATTGGTGCTTGTGCTTGGAGAGTCACTGTTGGTATCATCTTAGTATTTATACCTCATTAGTTGACCAAGTTGTGGCTGAACATGGAAAAATGTTCTCATCCCACTGTTCGAGGAGGAATGACTTGTTTGGTACTCTGATCAAATCAAAATGTCAGCTGCTTATGCATGGGACCAGCAGGTAAGCCCACTTGATGCTCTGAGGACAAACACATCAAGAATCTCCTAATCTTTCGGTGAACTATGTGTTCACTGATCTTATACAAACAATGTGTTATCAGCAGTGACATCAATTTGCTGTCATAGTGGTACTTGCATAAGCATCAAAAGCTACTTTTTTTTAATATCATTTTTAAGTAATTACTATTAAAAAGGATAGATTACCTTTTTTTTTCATTCTTCTTTAGATCTTTGTGATGGCTTTTCAATGATCTTTTGTTCCATCCGATCAGAAATTTGTGTCACCAACAAACATTATTCAACCCCTTGAAAGGCACATCAAAATTTGACTGAAGCTTAGATTTCAATCACCTCCAGTGCGAATTACCGTGATAGAACACATCCGAGTCTCTGCTGGTGTTGTCTCTTTGTTGGTTCTCCTGTTCTTCCTGGCGTTATTATGTATATGTTGCGGATGCTAAATCGAGAAGATTAAGTGAGAGATCAGGAACAAAAATGTCATAGTGGCAGCCAAGCAAGAAGCACATCGAGACCTTCTTTTCTTTCTTTCTTTCTTTACCTGTCTCTTTTTATATAATATACAGGTGAAAACATTAGCTTCTTTTGCAAGTGCGAGGTATAATCCATCTCCCACCTCCCTAAAGCACTTTTGAGCTAACATAATCACCGGACATGATGCTGCTTGATGTGGACTGCACATCAGAAGCAAACTGAGGTTACCTAACAGTTATCTCGATTGCTTTCTTCTAAACAACATAGCATTAATGTCAACATCACCTCGTTGGCATGCAGTAGTCTGGCCATATAAATCCCAATCCCACATATACTGCACTTTGGACTATGTTACACTACCTACCAACATTAAACTAAAGGAACCAAGAGAAGGCTCGCCCTATGGTCCCCCTCCATCTCGATGATCCACCTAAGTGGTGCTCGTTTGGATTTCGATTTGTAGTTTATGTCACTGCCTCTCATGGCAATCATGCTCTTGATTTATGTGGTGTGTCACTTTAACCTACTCTCCATGAAAAGAGGAGCACTAGTTTGTATCTATCTCTTCCTTTAAACTATTTGAGTTGCATCCATCTATGACTTTGTGAGAGAAGAGGGAGGTGCAGTGTGGCAATCCGCAGTACACTGGGTGGACTTAGAATGGCTCAGCGACAGCAAATCACCCATGCCTCATCTCCAACTCCTACAGGAGCAAAGTAAATATACAGTTTACTTAGAATGTTTATGCATCTTGGGGGAACTTGAAACTTTGGCAAACAAGCTTATGCCTCATAAACATCTGCAGCAAAAGGCCAGTGTGAGTTGGACACATCAAAAATGTATTGTATGTAGCTTTGCTTTTTACTGAGAAAACAGTATACTATATCTATTGATATCCTGTTTCATGGAATACCTTCAGCTTAAACTAATGTTACTTTAGAGGAGATCAAATTGGGTCATTCTTGGAAGTTAGGACATAATATTTTCTTTATATATATATATACCAATACAAACCAACTTCTGCCAGAATCTAGCATTTCAATAATTTTGGATTCTTTTGACGTTGTGTTTTTTTTTGTCTTACTCTGGTGTAAGCTGCTACTGAGAATCCTGTGAAACTTGCAGATCCATCACCATGATGAGAATTAAATGCTGGTTTGGACAGGTGCCTCAGATAAATTGGTCTAAGAAGCTATGGTAATGATTAGCTGCAAGCAAGTTTAAAAGTTTGGGTGCAGAGAGAGAGAGAGAGAGAGAGAGAGAGAGAGAGAGAACAGTGATGGAAAGGCAGCAAACTTTCCTACATGGTGGTTGCCTTCGTACCGTGAGGGGAGACAAAGCAAGGACAAGGCAAAGTGGATAAGAAACCTATCATTGATCTCCAGTACTTACCAAACTCGACTACTATTCAATCCATTGAGTTACTGATGTGTGTTCTACATTGGGAGCCACTTATATCAACAGCTCCAACATCTACTGCAAGACTAGCCATAAGGATCTGCTGCATCATTGGGTTACACTGCAGTATGTATGTGTGCTATTATGTGTTTATTACAAGTGAATATTCTGAACTGGTGTCCAACTATATATATATCACTAAATACTTAAAATGAGAATCCTTAGAGTCTAAAAAATTTCTCTTAAAGATTCCAAAACCTAAATCTCAATACCCAAGTGTTTGGTAATCCAACAGTCTGTTGTGATCATTATTTCACCTCAATATCTAGATTATGTCTAATCAATGTTGCAACTTGGCATACCAAGTCATTATGTTCAAGTTTGCAACTATGTGAGAAATAGAGTTTCAACATCACTGTTCTATAAGATATGCTTTGATAAAAAATAATATTGAGATAATACATGAAACATAAATTCCAAAATATTATACACTAAAAGATGTGAGTGGTTCCCCAAGAGATACTCAAATGGTCAACTATGTAAGGATAAATACAACAAAAATAAGATAAAACTTTTCATAAATTAACATGAATATCAAAAATCTTTTCATACACCCTCTCTCACCAATTTTAAAGAACTATTTTTCATATTATATATATACATATATAGATAAAGATAATCCTAAAAATAATCAAAATACTTATCCTTGACATTCAATTGATCAGTGCATTATTGTATAAAGTGATAGGTCTAAGATTAAAGTCTACTTGCAAGTATCATGTATGTCATTTAATATAATAAAAAATTATTTTATTTTTCTAAAAAAATAAAAATATTTTTTTAAGCAAAGTCTTTTTGATCTCTATCAAGGTTCCCATAGGTGAAATTATTATTATTATTATTATTATTATTTAGAGAAAAATGTGAAAAATGTATGTCAATCCCAAATTATAGGGATTACTATTGCTCAAATTCTAAGAGCATTTTGGAGCATCACACTTTGGGAGTGTGGGGGAGGGGGGAGACGGTTACCTTACCATATGAGGTTGGTGGACGGTTGTGGGACTGACTTGTTTGGGCATTTATTGACTCCACCAACTGGTGATGGAATCCCCACTGGTGGTCTAATGATCCCCGCAAAGTGAAGAGGAGACAGAGAGAGAGAGAGAGAGAGAGAGGTGGATAATTAAACAAGTGTTGGTGAGAAGTGAGGGAGGAGATGGTCCATCCCCACTATGCATCCTTAAGAATCCCGATGGCCATGAAACCCACTCCCCATTGGCTCCTCTCCCCTGCCTCAGCTCTGCCTGTTACACACATACCCACGAGTCTTCCCCCCCCCCCCCCCC